CAGTCCGCCCCTAACATGGTAATCACGATGCATTTTCTAATTTGTGACTATTTATATCAACCTGTGAGTCATTCTTGATCAATTGTTTATTTGTCAGTGGTAATGAAAACATGCAAGGTAGTGTTTTTTATTTGTGAACTGACGTTCTGTGGTTTCAGTAGATCAGTCATCAACAGATTATCCTAAGTTGAAAAAGATAGATCTTTTCTATTTCCACAGGAATAATCTTTCATGAAATGCATTTTGAAGTATCACCCGTCAATAGAGATGAAATAAATTATCCAGCTTTGGATAAATATGCTTACCCACCAGTGCTTGAAGAAGATCTGCTTATGTGAATCGACGCTGATAACGTTTATAGAAGAACTGATCTTGTGAATCACTTCTGGGAAGCCGAATTCGAACACACTTCCGAAGGTCTGTTCACAATCAATCCAAATCACCTGTCTGTCGCCGGCCAACACCTAACGTTTATCAACTGGTGAGAACCAGCACATGAAATCTTCTAGCGAATTATGTGTACAGTGTCTGTCAAACAATCTAGTCTTTTTCTGTACATAAAAGACAAGATTTTCACAGTCAATAGAAAACCTGATGCTATTCTGTTATCCGAATTATCAATATTCAGCATTCGTTTAAGAACAAATATATATGTCCCATGGATTCATCAAAAGCTGCTTTCGCTTAATACTCAAGATCAGATGGCTGGCCAGAAAAGATCAGCAACAGGGATCTCTGGCAATGAGAGAACTAATCAGGAACCGATTGTGCAAGAAGAAATGGAGAAAACAGGAAGAAATGTAGATAGGCTGGCCATATTCTGAGGAAACAAACCATCAAGTGATATCGCTAGACAAGCCATTGCTCGAGCGGAACCCGAAAGGGAAGTGGCAAGTTGGTCATCAGTGTAAGGGTGACTTGGAGGAGGTCATGTGAAGAAGAGATGAAAGCATGTAGACAGACCTGGAGACAGGTGAAAGCTTTAGCAGAGAACCGAACGCAATGAAGACGTGCAGCTGAAGACCTATGTTCCCCTAGGAATTAAAGGAAATAATAATAACAATATAATAAAACATTTTAACCGTGTTGTGTTTCCAGACAATCTTCATAGCAATATCGTTCATCAAATTCTTTCATTACATGCATATGTTAGAAGAATGAAATTAATTTCTTCAAGTTTTGTCTACTATTACAGTGTCAAAACATGTTCTAAATGACCGAGTATAGTTCCATTGCGTCCTGTAACAACTAAATCAGACGTTTTGTCTTTGTAGAAAACACTGCACTTTGGTATCCGATAATTTCGCTCAGTTTACATCAATATTTTCAGATTTCCGAAGCCGATTTTTCATCCTTTCGTGAAAAGTGTCCACTGCGTTGAGCCATTATTATTATTAATTACCAGTTAATTAATTACTGATGGCTAGCTACCTTCAAAGCTACCTTCCCTTGCTTCGAAGGCTTCGGAATCTCGTGGTGTGTTTTAATTACTTCGGGTGGAATTCTACCTAGTCCATTGGACTTTCCGACTTTCATTAGCTGTATGTGCTTCGAGACCTCTGTTAGTATTGGAGAACTGGTTGATGTTCACTACTAGATGTCTGAAGCCAAGTCAGCCAAAGTTCACTCTGATGGCTGATTCAACAGTGCTTAGGTGATAATCACTGATCTAATCTTCGATAATCATTTCGTCTTTTGAAATATACATTTTTCACAGCGTTATATACTACTAATAGAGTCATACGAGTAGTCTGATATCACTCATATGAACCAGCATTGCTTGCTGTCCATACAGAAATGGTCTTAATACCAGATGACAGTTTCTCTTGTTCACAGCTGATCTCATCAGTGGTGTACCGAGTTTATCACGGCTGACGGATCCAAATCCGTTCAGATAACTTGGATTCGGGTCAGCGATATTGAGTATCCAACAGCTCTGGTTGAAATGAAGAGTATTCAGGTACTCACATCAACACATCGGTAGCTTCAATGATATAAGAAAATAACTTTTGCTCTGTGTTAGTGTATAATTCAATCAAAGAATAATTTTATTTGACAGAAGTGAATAGTGAAACAGCATTATTACTAGTGATGTTTGCAGCATAATTTATTGCTCATAGTCATGTCGATGTACCAACTTGACTTCCAGTTTTATTCAGACACTTCTATTATTCACATAATAAAATTGTATTATTAGTACTATCATTCCGTTGCAATTCGGGTGAAACATCGGGTCTCAGCAGCACATCTCCATTTATTCCTGTTCTCTACAGTATTCTTTGGCTAGACCCACTTTTGTCCATAGAATCTCATCTCCTCCTATGATTTCCTCGGACGCCCAACTCGGTGTTTCCTTATCGGGTCCCATTAGACAGTGTATATTGCTTATCCTTCCAGGTCTGTGATCTGGTCTCCCATATGGAGCGAAAGCAAGTGTTCATGAGTATTTGCGGATTTCTTTTGTGAATGCGGTTGCTGGTGCGTGAGACAATCCTGTGAACTATATAAAAGTGGTGGTGTTGAAAATCCTAGTCTGATTCTTTATTCTGAGGGCAGAGGATTTCCCCATTGATTTCAGATTAGTAAAGTCCAGCTTTATCTTTTTCGTCTTCGTGCATGCCTCTGCCTTCAGTTGAAACTGTGCTGCCCATTCGGGTAAATGAAGGCAATGACTACACTGGCGTCGATGGTGATGGTGCCTGTAGTCATTATCGGCTGCCATATTTCTAATTACTTGGAGTCCACGTTTTATCCTTCTGCATCCAACTTAATGATTTTTGGATGCAAACAATTAAATACTCGCATACTGCACAAAAATCATCCGAAAAATCCAAAACTTTACGAGTTTTCCTGTCGACCTAACTTACTACTGTAGAACTTATCTCTATGTTCTATCGTATGATGCACTCTACCGCAATCACGGATGTCGTCTGTGGTTATAAGCATCCTAGTCCTACATCTTTCTTCACTTCAGAGGTTTGAAGCAGATCCCAAATCACCTCGTGGCCAACGCTATTACAAGCTTCTTCAAAAGCGATTAGTTTAGGGCAGAGATTTGACTGCCGTTCTGTACTCTGTTCGATGAAGTTAAGTAGCGTTGCAATATAATTCGAGCACAATTGGTTCTATGTGGCAGCAGCTTGTTCATGCCGGAGTTTTTATCCACAGCATCTTGTAGTCTGTTCCGGATGATGCCGCATAAAATTCAGCTGGATGTTGAAATCAGCATGATTCAGGATCAGATTTTGCAAAGGTGTAATTTGCTTTACTCTGGTAGTATTCCTTCCAGTGAATAGGCACCTTATGTCACTTCTAAACTTTGTTCACCGCTGGAGTGAAGATATTCACTAAGGTCTCTGAATCAGTTCTTAGTGTTTCATAAGTATTCCGTCTGAAGCTGCTGCTCCTCTGACTAGCTCTCAGTACCTTCATGAAATTGAAGACTTCAGGTTTAGTCTAAGGATCGATATTGAATAGCAGGTCTTTTGGTGATGGCGGTAATTCTGGACAAGCTATAGCCCGTAGTCAGTTCGAAAATCCTTCGAAGTGATCAGACTTCTGTTTAATTTTCTGCTCAATGGTAATTAGGTTTGCTTCGCTATCTTACGTGTGTTTATCCTTCCAGATAATGGACGAAAGAGAATAAGAATTTCAGCCTTTTTAGCTGTCTAGTTATCTCAGATGATGTTCTGAGGTTTCTCTTACCTCCAATCTCTTTCCGTCACGTTTTCCGGTGTTTCGTGGAGCTGTCTTTTGTCTTTCCTAGCACTCGCCTTCACTTCTTGTGCATTGAAATCAACATCCTCTTTCGTGCACTGATTCAGTCTTTATTTCACCACTCATAGCGTAGGTCGATTCTTCTAAATTATCATGATGAGGGTTTGGCATAGACTTCAGGATACGGCGTCATTTTATACATGGAGTTAATTCTGTAAATCTGATTCAATATCATTTGTTTCATTTATTATCCATTTATCAGTATCGTCCATATAACACTGCGTCACTCCAAAGACTCTTACTCTCTGGATATGCGGTTGCCATAAGAAAAGCAATGCCAACTGAGATACAGTCGTACAAATTTAACGGGTAAAGAGTTGTTAAAATCATGATTCCTGAATTCACGTTTTAGCCACCACCTATCACAGTCTATGGGGAATTAAATGTAAAGTTTGGAAACCCTTGATTTACACTCTTATGATTTTGTATGCAAACGCGAATATATGGGACAACGTGTGAGACAATGAATTTTAAGGTAAATATTAAAGATGGACGTAAAAGTATATCGGTAACGTTCCGATTTCTTAATTCTGCAGAATAAATGTCAACTAATTTAATTCAATTATAGATTTTCCCATCGATCGATTGGACGGAAATGCTCGGCCTCAGGTCGACATGTCATCTTCTTGTGCAGATGCCTCAACGATGTCTGAGCATGTAATTGGAAGTTAATTGGTGAATGGTGACTAGCAGTGGAATCCAGGATGCGCATTTTGTCGGCTGGAACATCATCACTGACTGAGGAATGCAGGCACATCCAGATGACGAGTCCCAAATAGGACGGAATTGGCATCCTGGATTCCACAACTAGTCATCATCCACCAATTAAATGTCAACTAAGTTATAAATTGAGATGGAGTCAACTGATACAATTAAGAATCAAAAATTGAAATTAATGTAAAGAATATTAACAAAGATCACTACGATACTAAAATGTGATTAGTTGTTCAATATACATGTATTCATGCTGAAACGAGTACATGAGTAACGCCAGTGTACCAGTATGATAATGTGTGATATGCAGTATGTGGAATGTGAAGATGTATAGAAGTGAGAATTCGCAAAACATCCATTCTTCAGTAAACGCGTTGTACGCAAATAGAAGCGGATATGTCGTTGCATTAATACTTTATTTATTAAGATTTTTACACGTCAACAGTCAGACATTCAACGGTCAACATGCACAAAATGATACTAATAAGGAATCCTAAATTACAGACTTATTATAGGGTAAAACATTCTGTCACATAGGAGCCTGTTAGCAGATTCATTTGAGTAAGTTTACGAGAACCACTGCTATCTAAGGAAAGAAAAATAGAACGACAACATGAATGTTTAGTATTCTAGTAACTTTCATGTCAGCTTGTTAACTTTCTGTCTTAACAACAAGTGAATGTATTCCACGTGTTTAACGTGGAATTTGTTTCAAAAATCATCAAAAATGTTGTCACTCTGATATCTCATTTAGAAAATTAGAGAAAGGAAATTAGTTCGAACTCACCAAATTGACAGCAGTGTTGAAAATGCCGGCCATCAGAAATTTGCAAATGTCCTGAAAAAAAGTGTTGAGTCCTATAAACATTCATCTTTCTAACCATGTAAATAGTGAAGGACATTAGAAAAGACGAGTTTCATGATTTAGTATGTACATTTCAAGTTGTCATTGCTTTGTGGTAAAATTCAGCATTGTGAATGGAATATTAACTAGAGTAATTCTGTGATTGGAATATAAGAAACAGTCTTCAATCTTAAATGTGGAAAGCATCAGCACAATTTCCTGGAGTTACAATGACGCAGTCATTATCAATGAAATCAAACACACCATATCACATACAGGATGTAGAAATGTGACAAAATTCCTTGCAGTCATACTTCTACGAATGTATTACCGTGTATTCATTTCGAAAAAAGCTTGTATAGTCGTGCTAGATTAATGTATTCATTTTTCAGTAGTTGTTTACACACGGTGATAAGCTTCTTATATATTGGTAAATTAATAATTTTGGGTTTAAAATGACGAGTGGGTCAAGTGGAAAAGATTCAAAGTGAGAATAGTAATAATAATAAAGATAATGGTAATAATAATAATAAATAATCGTAGTAATACGTGTGCCTTAACAGACGTAATGATGGATCTCTCAAAAGATCTATACACCGGGAACGCACATGGAACGGACATCTAACTAATTTTTACAGTTGGGTGCCTGTTTCCAGGAAAAGGAATCTTATTCATTTACTCTGCTTTAGGATCAGGAAAATTTGTATTTCTGATTGCATTGACTCAGAACTTGACTTCTTAAAAGCCACACTCGCAGAAAATGGTTACCCTAACCGATTTATTGGCAGCAACATGAAAGATAAGCAGTCTAAACTGGTCAGCGACTCAGTTCTAAAGAAAACCTTATTCATGAACTTGGAATTCAAATATGATCAAGCTACAGATATGCTCAAAAATCGTTTCTCTGAATCACTCAGTAAGACGTTCGCTGCAGCAAAATTACATATGAAGTTCACGAGCCGCAAGATATTCTCTACCTCTGTAAAAGATAAGCTCCCCTGTCTGACCGCCTCCATGTGCATCCATCAGTTCACCTGCTCCTATGGATCAAGGTACACTGGGCGTAGTCATAGGACGCTTTCCACACGGATACGAGAACATATTCCAGCTTGGTTTTACAAGGGAGAAAGGAAGTATGTGCGAAGCTCTAATCTGGAACACCTGATCGACTTCTGTCACTCGATCAACCCTGACCATGATTTCAAGATCATATATAGAATCCAAGCTAAATTTCCGTGTCTTCTTTGTTACAGACTTCTAAAGATAGCTGAGGCCTTGGCCATTCGTGACTTTAAGCCAGCAAGACCTTTGTGTACAAAAGAAGTATGTACAATCCCTACTTCTGCCTTGGCCATAGAGGGATAGACATTTATTTATTTTGTTTATTTAGTTATTCTATGTACTTTTCCCTTATTACTTCGATCGTTATTATTACTATTACTGTTCTCACTCGGAATATTTTCCACTTGACCCACTTGTCATTTTAAACCCAAAATTATTAATTTTTATATTTTTTATTTTTACAATATTGAATTCTATCTTATCAAAGTACACAACATGTTATGTAACATTTCATATTCGTCTACTAATCTTATAATTATGTATACCTTTCCAAAATCTACACACCTTAGAAATATTTTTTTAATTGTAAAACAATTACAACACATGGTGTGTTGGAGGGCAGTAATTTTTGTTGAAATACTACCAAAATATGAAAACAATTATCTTTGTGTGTGAACAACTATTGAAATATGAATGTAATTAAATTGATCTAGTCTACAGTGCACAAATTTATCGCTGACGTGTATTGCTGTGTATTCATTTCAAAACCACGTGGCACTGATTGATTTTCAACTGATTTCAGTATTATGACTTGCCGTTTCAATCGCATTCAAGAAAGGAATAGTGTCATGATTTAAACATTCTATCCAAAATGTCCTTAATCTTACACTCAATTCAAATTTGATAAAGCATATCCTGGCATAATAAAAGTAAGAAATTGACTATATATCTTCTTTTTCAACGTCCTAACGATGAAACGAACAGACGGAACAATATGTAGACGTTTGTAGAGAAAATCTACTTCTACTGGACAATATACTCACTTCTGAGCTTCGTGCCTCTACAGTACAAACGCAATCTGGTTAGATGTCTGGTTCACCGGGGTAGCGTTATCGGTTTAAATGAAACACTAGACGAATAACTTGCTAATATTCGTGATCTACCACAGTTGTACGACAATGCCGCATGCCAAGTGATCCAGAACGAGAGACTCACGGAATCATTGGAATACGCACCCATCGGGGCTCAAACTTGAGAACTCGAGGTTAAAAGACGAATTCCTATATCATTCAGCCAACTGGACGTTTCCCGGCTCCACTCATGGAATCCTTCGAAGTGAAGGCGGGAGTAAGACAAGGCTGCCTACTATCTCCAATGATTTTCCTGATTGCGGTAGACTAGATAATACAACAGACTGTGGACAGCAAGGAAAGAGACATAAAGTAGATTCACACAAAAACTTGGAGGATCTGGATTTCGTCGATGATATATGTCTGAATTCCCACAAACTGGAAGATATGCAAGTGAAAAGCAACACGTTAGCAGAATCAACAAGAATCAAAAATAGGACTTCAGGTGAGCGCAGAGAAAACAGTGGTGATGTAGATTCCTGGCCAACAGCAACAGCCACAGAAACAACAACAGACAAAAAACAGCAAAAAGTGGGAGAAATCTCAAAGAAACAACCTCCTTTACCAACCTGGGAAGCATCGTTTCAACCACTGGCGGACGGAACTGATGAAAATATTAAAGTGAGGATCAGGAAAGCAAGACAAGCTTTCATTACTTTCAAGTCTGTGTGGAGATCAGCAGCACTCAGCATGAGAAATAAGATTCGGATTTTCAACTCCAATGTGAAGTCAGTGCTACTATACGAATCAGAGACTTGTCGCCACGTCACGAAGTGCACTTCAAACGAAATACATACCTTCATCAACAGCTGCCTTCGCTCAGTACTACTCAAGATCAGATGGGTAAAAAATACCGGCAACAGAAATCTCTGAGAGCGAACCGTCCCAGCAGGAACCAATTGTGAAACAAATATGCAGGGAGAAATGGAGGCGGGTCGACCATACTCTGCGAAAATCATAAAGTGACTTCACACGGTAAGCAATTAATTACCCCAGTGGGACCCAAATGGGAAGCGGTGAGTTGGTCGTCAGTGTGAGCATCTCTAATCAATGTCAGCTCATGATGAAATCCTGTAACCAATCAACCAAATCCCTACAAACCAATAGTTGAGTTCAGGTTATTACAGGAATAAAAATGTTTGTACGCAGCATTTCAGGTTTTTTCACTTCAATTCACATACCTGTTTGCAATTCACAATACTCGAAATAGTGAGAATAGCAAGACAGATCAACGTTGAAACCACCAGTGCGATTACCACATTTTCTTTCAGTCTTTTCGTTAGATAGCAAAAAATAATTGTCAATATATCTTCCAAAAGTGTGAAGCACATTAAAAACCAACAGGATATTTCAGATTCTTTGCAAACCACCAAACAGATATCTGATGAAAATAGCATCAGCTGTTTGCAGAATAAATTTAAAATTTAAAAAGGGCATTAAATCAATTTGTTATATATGTCCAAACGAAGTTCACTTCTAACAGTTTGAAAAAAATTGGGCATTGGGTATATGATATTCATTATAATAAAGGTTTTTGTATTTCCCAATGAATGAAAAACAAAACGATATTGTTTTTACTAAAGTTTCGCTATTTAATGCTAATAGCTTTCTCAAAGTATTATTAAACCGGAATTTACAAAATCTCAGCATACATGTAACAAAGAGTTAAGAGGTGAGGTCAAGTCAAGACGACATATTGAAAGTCAAAATATCAATGGAGATCACTAAAATGGAGATCAAAGGTAATAGTACATCTGTTATGATATCAAAATAAAGTTTACTAACTTGATCATTCTGCAACTATCCGGTCAAATCTTGATCACAGTTCATATGAATTAACTTGATCATCGTTCGTCTGTTTGGGGTCATTTTTCTTTGTCAAGTTGGTCAATTGGTTAAGATAAGAAAATCAAGTGTAGATGGTTGGATTTGATCAGTGTGTAAAATTATAAAAGCAGTGTGTGTTTACATAGTGAATTTTCTTATCACATTCGTGTTGATTTTGTCACATCATGGGGGAGGGAGGTGTTGTAACCAGGTCGGATATTGTTTCGAATAGGAATGATGGACTAAAACAAAATCCGATCTGGTTACAAAACCTCCCTCCCCCATGAAGTGACGAAATCAACACGAATGTGATAAGCAAATTCACTATGTAAACATACACTTCTTTTATAATTTTACACACTGATCAAATCCAACAAACTACACTTGATTTTCTTATCTTAACCAGTTGACCAACTTGACAAAGAAAAATGACCCCAGACGGACAAACGATGATCAAGTTAGTAAACTTTATTTTGATACCATAACAGACGTACTATTGTTACTTTGTTATTTCAAATCTTTAAATATTCCCATTTATAATATTAGAACAAGACATATAAGCGAACATTATTGATTTCAATTAGATCTTCTTCAGGCTTTACTCTAATTTACATAGACTTATACATAAAAATTTTAACCAATGACGGTGTTTTGTGGATCAAATAATAATATGGTAAATGTTTTAAACTTACTTAATAACGATGATCATAGTGATAACAAAATATTGATAATAAGGTTTATGCAGGTGATAAGAATAACAAAGATAATATATGTATATATGTGTATATGTAGATATTTAAATAAATAAATTAGGTCCAATCTTAAAAGGTAAAATGGAACGATAATCAGAGTTTAAATAAATATCATATCAATATGTCCCTTTAACTTGACCTAAGTCTATTTTCTCACCTCTTAACTCTTTGTTATATATATACTGAAATGTTTCATTCATTGGGAAACACGGAAAGCTTTATTATAACAAATCAAGTTGTATAAAGCATTAAGAAGACAAATTTCGCGAGATGATATCATTTCGTAGTTTCTTTACAACCGCTTTACAACTAACATGGTTAACAATGATAAAATAAAGTTCATGAAAATTACTCAGTTAAATAAAAACAAAAGTACATACTAATGACCAATCATATTAAGATAGGTCATGCAGTCCAGGGTAGGCGAAGATTGAAGTCAATTGATTTTTGTACACACAGTTTAGGCTGTATGTGATTAATCCAAAGTGCTTCCATCACCTTCAATAACCTTGAATTAGAGTTATGTGAAATAATTGTGAAACAGTCATTAATATTGATTTTGTGACCAGACATTAATAAGTGCTTTGCAATGGATGATGCTGGATTTCTACTAAGATTAATCGCGTTAGGATTTTCGATATGATTTACTAGCCATTTTGGAACATGTTCTTTTCGACGACATTGGAACATTCTGTTAGTTCTACCTATATAGGTGTCGCCGCAGCTGCAGGTGAACTTGTAGATACAGTTTGAAGTAGAGTCCACAGAATTTCGTCCTTTAATCGTAGGAACAGGGATCAAAAATGTTCGGCAAGTGAGAAAAAGAGATGCGGCGTAGAATGTGCGTTTGATGGCTGACCGAAGTCTTTGAGCTGTCAACTGCATAATCTGGTCGCCCTTAAATGGTAGATTAATAAAGATAGCTTTCTTTGGTACAGAAGCTTTCTTTTCAAGATGCGGTCTATCCTTACCGTGACAATTGATGAAGTTTTCTGGATAACCATTGGCTAGTAAAACTGAATGTATATGTCGAAGCTCATCCATCAATGTGTCACTCGTACATATTTTTCGAGCCCTTGAGAACAAACAATTCACCAGGGAACGTTTATACTGGATAGGAACAAAAGTGGTAAAATGAAGATATTGTCCACCCCACGTCTGTTTACGAAAAATAGAGCGCTGAATCGTTCCATCATTTCTCCTAGTCATAGTAATAATAGTAATAATATCCAGGAAACCGAGTTTGTTATTGGATTCTAGTTTGGAGGTCACTCGAATATTTGGATGGATATGATTGAATAGGGTGATAAAGTTTTCAATAGATTTGCTATTATTACTAATAATAAGAGTATCATCTACATAACGTTTGTACAGCATAAATTCTCCAAGAGTACCTTGCATTTGTTTCTCTAACTTTATTTTATCATTGTTAACCATGTTAGTTGTAAAGCGGTTGTAAAGAAACTACGAAATGATATCATCTCGCGAAATTTGTCTTCTTAATGCCTTATTCAAATTTATCAAAGGGACTAATTGTTTTAATTAAATCAAGTTGTATTTAATAAATTTAAGTGTCATTGTAGTGTCAGATCGAATGACGCCAAAACCATCTCCATGGTGATTAATTTCCACCATTTCATTTGACAGCTGCTGACATTTCGATATGGAATAATACAGGCGTTAAAATTACTGATTACTGGTAAACTTGATATTGCGGGCGGTCGGGATGACAGCGTGGATCAATGCTTCGTGGGCTAAAAACTTGTAAGCGCGTTTTCGTATGAATTTTAGAAAAGTCATTACCTCAGCTCAGACAAGTCTCACCCCGTGCTTAAATTGCAAATGTAATCCTGTATCTATTCTGTCGATTGACCTATCATTAAATGATGCTGACTGCATTTATTTTAGAATTGTTTGTCATCCAGACTAATTTCCTTTCAATGAGTACCTTTTAAATAAGCCAGATAGGTAAGCTGAAATTATATTGAATTCACGAAAGTATAAAGTCTTTTTAACTATTGCAGTGTACTTTTTGTGGTCAAATTTTGACAAAAAATCAAGCGACCAAATGAACGCCGATGAGAATAAAACATTTTTTACAGTAAACATTTACGTAAAACATAGAAGAGATGGTTGGAAACTGAAGTGCGCTTTGCCACGTTTCATATTTTATTGTGTAAGTTGTGTCAACAAACTAAGTGACACTTGTTTCACTATGGTCGGGTGTGAGGACAAATACTCGCCGAAGACATTGGCTAGCGGTCGCACTATATCGTGAATTGGCAGAAGTTAGAATTCAAGGACCATTGGATCGGGTCCCAGTGGCTTAATGGTATTCGAGCTCGTCTTTTAACCAGAAGGTTCTGGGTTCGAACCGTGACGGTGGGTGCGTACTGATGAACAGTTCCAAACTAGGACGAAGCAGCTGTCCAGTACTCCCAGGCTTTCCAATGGTTCTCTAATCAATGCCAGCTCATGATGAAATCCTAAAACCAATCAAATCCCTACAAACCAACACTAAAATACCTCTCAGTTGGATAAGCACTTTCAACCATCTCTCTCCACTCTGCATTTACTGAGTAATGCAAATGTATATTGAGCAAATGTATCACAAGCCATGTATGCTACGGACCACTTTTGATAAACGTGGGCAATTTCAGCATATTTCATAGTCTATCTTCACATACATCAAAAATTTATTTACTTTCTATTTAGTGGCATGATAAAAAAACAAACAATCATTAGTAAACAATTTCAGCTCACCATTTTCATTCTGTCAAGAACTTACCAATAATCCAATCAATGAGCATGAAACTATGAATTTAATTCTGAATTCGAAGAACAGCATTAAACTAAGGGCCACAATGACTACCCTAAAAGCATAAAAAATTTGCATATTGAATGTCAGTGATAAAAGCATATCAGTTCGAGTTATGGTCGCATGCCATATTTCCGTGTATTGTACCACAGGTTGAAATGGAACTGTTCTCTGAATGAGGTGTCAAAGAGAATTTATTGCAGGCAATCACATTATTTCATACCTCAGACGAATCCACTGTTCCATTTTTAGTCAGTTTGATTTATGATGTTCAGAAAGATTGTGGAATTATATCTGATATATATATATATATTCTGTGTTTTGGATAAATAAGCCTTCATTATCAGTCTACAGATTCGCCTCGTTGTGTAACGTACGGCGTATCAGATTAAAAGGTATCTGTAGATTTTGAAGAATTCCTTTTTAAGAGTTTACATCAGAGCAGGCTTCTCTCTCTTTACCCCTATCAGTGGTACGAATGCTTGACACTAAAGAGGTCTGATAAAATCAAGGAAATTAATATTCTTCCCTAATCATATTCTATTTCTTTCATTGAAAACCATTCAGTTAAATGAAAATTTTAATGGAGAATAAAGCCTTTTTAAGAGCATCAGTTGAAACATAGATTTCACAGAATTTCAAAGCTGACTTCAGTCAATTGATTGTATTCCCCGAGGTTTATTAGGGCCGTTTTCGGGTTTGTCTTCATTCGTCACCAACATTAGGCTATTGATAATCATGTTATAATAATGATATTGTCTGAAATATCTCAGAATGCGGAACTCACATGGTAAATATTGCTACGATGAGCAGCCAATCCATTGGAAATATTTTTCTGATCTAAACAATAACAAATGCAATATCACTGTTAGGTTACATCGATGTTCTTGGTAATACAAATAAAAATGGTAGTTCATTTACACTTGTATAGTGGAGAAAGCTTTTGCATCGTGGGTTTACAAATACTAATCGTGATGACGTCGAAATACAGATTTCTCGAATTCAGATAGTTCAGTTAATCATCAGGCCTGATTATCTATTATGTTTAATTTAAGACGCATTAGTTAATTATTCTCTGAACATGTTATAGTTCAGGTACCTCTATCACATTGAGAATGACATCACTGTAATTTGTTTTATAAATAGACTGTTGGTTGGATGATGCTTTCATTCGAAAATAAGAAGCATAAATATTATATTTTTAGCGACGGTGCTAATTTACTTGGTCCATATTTAGAAAGTGTCCTCACAAATTAATCATTGCCTACTACAATAGTACTGAGAGATTTTACATGTATGAATAAGCGATAGGACTATTCTATACAATGTCAATATTCTACGAAACATATATGATGATTCAAAGGTAACTATTTCCATATATCTTGATCGATCGATAGTGAACCGGGCATGATATACAGGTGCATAAGTTAGCCTGTAGTCTGAGACTGTACGAAGCCTCGGGAACAGATTCTGTTGAATCAGGAGATGATAATAACAATAAATCATGGGAAAGGCAATACTTACTTCTGATTGAAGTGGTCTAGATCGCGAGTCAAATAAAAATGTTATACCTATATATATGTATATATACATTGAATTCATTCTTTAAACTTTGATCCGAAGTTCTACACGTTTATACCCTGGTAAAAATCAATATTCCAACTTGTTACTCTGATCTGAATTATCTAGTATTTTGAAAAACTCATGATTCAAGATAATAAGAAAAAAGCACCTTTAAACAATGATGCCAGCCTAATTCTCACCGCTTAATATATGGCCAATTAGCTGACATTTTGCTATAAATTTAAAACGCGTATTTGATGAATGAAGTTAAATATAAACAGATCAATTAGAAGACGTAATTTGTCTAAATCGTGCGATGCATTTGGGTAACACATTTCAAACAATCTGAAGAATGTTAGTCTTTTCTGAAAGCATGAAGCGTCTTCATGAAATACGCAGTGCGAAAGCAAACATTGCTGAACATAACAATTATTATGAAGAAGTGTTCAATGTACATTTAACTCATGTTCAGTTCTATTTTGTTAGTTCTTAATTAGTTGAAAACGTTTATTTATTTATTTATTTATATATTACGAATTGAAAACAAGCAACGAAGGTTAACAGAGCAGGATTTAATGAATTCATCAAGTTTCGGTAGAACTGGTCAGCCAAATACTTTACACACGGAGATATATATACTATTAGTATTGCGCTGAGAGATATAAGACTAATAAGCAAATAGACTAGATTGAATTAATCATGCAGAAAGACAGGTGCAAATGTTTTCCAGGTCATATTGGCTGACTGATGGTTTCATTTGAAAACGCGGAAAGCATTCACATAGATGTAGAACCCAATTTTTTATTACAGCTTGATTCCCCACTGTACTTTTGGTACAAATATGGAATTCTCAAGATGGGTATCGATAGCCCAAATTTTGCAGGCCGACCATAGATATCAGGTGTGTGTCAGCGGGAAATCGAACCTCGGACCATGTGCATAGTCGGCAAGAATCCTAGCCACTGGCCAACCAATAACGGCTTCTAATTTACTTTGTTTACACGCTTCTTATGAGGAGATAATTCCCCTTCGAAGTTCAGACAATATATGATGATTTTTATCAAATACCCATTGTATTTCAATGCTGTTATTAATGTCCTTCTTATCTCTCCTATCAACACTTTTATTTACTTATTATGTTTTTATTCAAACAGTTTATCCATCCCACTCCATCCCCCGTAAATTTCCGTACTCCACAATCAGTTTCATGAATTTCATTATGATTCGTTGCACGATTTTCCACCATTTAATCGCATAAGGGACTAAACCTGGAAGTAATGCTGTCTTCGAAACTTTACCGTAACGGTATTTATTAAGATAGCCTTGAATATTTAACTACATACAGTTGTATGAAGACCACTTTATTTAGTGCTATCCGAAGTATCCATCCTTTATAATCAGGTGTGCGGAATTTAAATTTAAATTCTTGATACAGCATCCAGTTATGACCAGGTCATTTACGCCTTATTTTGCCTTAACTTAACCAAGATAACTTAATTTCGCAGTAATGCGCATCCCTATTTCCAACGATTCGACAAGCCAAAAATCATCTCAGGATGCCTTCAGTCACGAGCAACAACGTAAGCTGTTGTCAACTGAGGCAGCAGAGAACCACTGACATTATGACAAATATCATACCTTATAAAACTACTCGTATGTTTGAGGTGGGTTGCGAGAGACACTTAGATTGAAATAACACTTGAGAAGACAAAGCGTAAATGTGCTATGAGACAGTCAGTGCAAACTGATTTGCAGTGGAGTGTCCGTATTTTTGACTAGTTAGTCAATTATGTACTCATGTCAGCTAGTCGACGACTGAGAGCACACTGAGTGTGTAGCTACAGTGATGTTACTAACGACCTCAGAGGCTTTTATGCAATTCGAATCATTCTTCTTCAGCATCATGAAAACTCTGTCAAACTCAAAAGGAAGGAAAGTTAGTCAGTGCTGTAGACTTGAACAATATATATATATATAGGATAGGATCTGAGAGTTTACTGAATTCAGGGACTGTTTGCTTTAAATTTCTGAAGGAAACTGTCTCTATCAATGAAATCATCTTCAAAGTCTGTACAAACGCATTAATATTCAGCAAACAGCTTTTATTATTATTATTATTGTTATTATTATTATTGTGCGTCGGTGGCACAGAGGTTATGGTTCTCGCCAATCATGCACATGGTCCGGGGTTCGATCCTCTGCCGACGCACAAATGATATCTATGGTCGGCTTGCAGAATTTGGGCTTCCGATGTCACATGCTAAAAATTCCATACCTGTACCAAAATGCGGTGTGGAATCAAGCTGTAATCAAAAAATAGAGAGGTGATCAATAATTGATACAGTTATCAAACGTAGTTTTTAAGGATAGAAATGGTGTAACGGTCAGCAAAACAACAGAAGTAATGGTTTAAAATTTTGATACACTGTAAACTGATGTTGAATGAAAGGCAAGATAATTACTATCTCATTACCTGAGCACCTAGTGAAGTCATGCCACTCGACGCCATCAGAGTCACTTTTTCAAACTATTTACAAAATAATGGTGAACCGTGGAAAACGGTATTAGTTTTTATTACTGAGGAATGATGGAGGCTGGGGCTTTTTAACCGCACACTTTGTGCGTAGAAAAGGTTAGTTCATACTTTTATTCTAGTATAATCTTTAACTCTTTCTTACTCATCTGATTCTATTTTCAGGGATGAATTAACTGTTATCGTTCTTACATGTTCCTCCCGTTTATTTTATTACTTCTTCTTCTTCTCTTTTTCTCTTTACATAATAGGTGGACATTCAACTGCTTTGCCTCTTATCCAATAGCAGCTTATACCGTATCAGATTTAAAGCCAATGTGACATTGACATCCTCAGAAACCACTTTTGAATAGCTGTATTTATTATTATTACTCTATTACTGAATAATAGAGTACTATAAGCTGTTTGGTAAATATAAATACGGCAGTACAGTCTTTGAAGAAAGCTTCGTTGATAAAGAAAGTGCTATTACTACATACACTCAACTTCAGATGTTATGAACATTCAGATTGTAATGTTTAAACTTTTATATTTTTTGTATTTTTAATATTTTTCTTGTGCTTTGAAGTTTTTGTTGCATTTTGATTGGTGACAAGCCTTCTTCTTTTTTTTCCGATTTCAGGACCGTCTAGCAAGTTGGTCAGCTAGTTAATCAGCCGACGTGTCAGCTGATTCACAACGGCGAACTCAAAGAAGCTTTTGAAGTGAATACAGGAGTAAGACAAAACAGACTGCCTATTATCACCGACGATATTTCCAATTGTGGTGGACTGGATTATACGTCAGACTACTGGAAGTGAGAAGACAAGCACCCTGGGTGAATTTATAGACAGTTGTGGTGATAAAGATGACCAACAAACAACAACAACAACAGCCAGCACCAATCGTCATCAGTGGGAGAGATTTGACACTGGTTACTTCCTTCACTTACCGAGGAAGCATCATTAAAACCACAGGCTGATGAAACGGATGAAGATGTTAAAACAGGCCAGAATCGGAAAGGCAGGGCACTCATAATAAAGAGCGAGATCGCAACTCTCAACACAAATAACATGTTCATCACTGCTTCAGTATGAGTCAGAAACACAACCAGCGAGTCAAGAAAAGCAATTTCCAACGTGTCGCTACAGACGTATAACAGCATCTGCCTTCTTTGGCTTCATAGTGAAAATCAAATGGCAAAAAAGAATCATCAACTAGCAACTCTGTGGACATACTAACTAAGAATCTATCACCGAACACATATGTGGGGGAAGATGGAGATGGATTGGGCACACGTTGAGGAGACCGTCGAATTACATCCAACCAACTACTCCAACATCATCCGCCTGTGCTAAAAATCTTCATCATATTCTAACTCATTACACGTGAAAAGTACTCCGTGACACCCAAACACATACAATACATGAACAACCTTCACGAAGAGAAAAAAACGTGCCATAATTGTGTATACGTTTCATATGATTATCCAAAATAAGTTTTTTCATTTAATCATAAAATTACTAAGTACCAGAAACAAATTTAACTTGTGTTTTCTAACTACAGACACAGGACATAAAATTTCACGTTTTTCTAATTAGTTGATTGTAGGTCACTGACAGTGACTGTTATCAGTAAATTCCATCACAACCATTCTAGTCGTTTATCTTACTTTCACCAGTTTTATTGATTATTGTAAAATTTTAATTAGCAAACTGTCTTTTACAGTGTATCATATTCTCGTTCATATAAATAGCATGAAATAGTTAGTGGTATTCATATTCATAATCATGACGAGATTCATACTATGCAGCCTCTTCGTATTCCTCCTACTTGCGCAATTATCTTTACAAACATGTGAGTATAAAATGTGATAGGACGTTATATTATGTATGAAAGCATTTGAAGGTTTAGTAAATTTCGCCTTTTACTGACATGCTTCTTGTTACCTGATATCGAGATATCGACTTCAGCAAACGTTGTTGGAAAATATGACATACTAGTCTGTTTCACATAACAGTCATTTTTAGCAAGTTATCTCTGCTGAAATGACTTCGCTTCAGTTGAATCTTGCACTGAAGCGTTTTCCAATGCTTAGATTGTGACTTAGAAATATGTGTCTTTTCAATGAAATTCGGGTAATAAAATATCGATGAAAAAGATCATTCGCGGATAATTTTTTCGTTTGAATTGTGAGAGAGATAAGATCTCGTGTAATCTCCCTCTTCATTCATCCTCACTGTAGCTTGATTCCTAAATTATCACTAAACATTGAAGAATATTTAGCATATCCCTGAGGTGCTGTGTTTCTTTCGATCACGTTACTTGTAATTCGTTCGTTGATGTGAATTTTAATGACTATAAACAGAATAACCCAATAACCAGAAGACACATATTTATCTAAATATTTCTCTACTGGCTTGTCAAATGAAAATAAACAACACTTTAGGTATGAAACATCCGCATTTCGTTTCAAGACTGCAGGCTGTCTGAGATATACATGAAAACAACTAAACGGGAACAAACATTTTCTTCTACTCAGTGAAAACTAGACATGACGATCATACTTGTACAGAACAGTGAAACGTGCAGTATAATGTCATCGACATAACGTTTGATGGCCCTTATTTGTAGTCATTCTGGGAAATTATTCAAGAAATTTTGATTTTAAAACTGTTAACACTGTGATCGAAAGATGTAGAGATTGATGGAATAGTCATGAGAATTCCAACAGGACCAAGTATTGAGAGTTTATTTATAGAAAATCCTGAATAACAGGAAATGAAATCCGAAGTTTTACAGATAAATCATTGTTCAGAGTATGCAGATGGTATTTTCAACTTTCGGAAGGACATGAATGAGGCTTTTAAATTGTTTTAGCTATTCAGTAATGTGCCTCAGGCAAAGATCTCTTTTACTACCTTGATTTATATGTGAAGAGAAGAAGTGATCGCATAATCGGGAAAGGAACATGTCAAATGGACACTGGAACTAGGCAGCCCTCAGTCTATGCTAATTCCCACCTAATAAAAATACAAACACTGCGACAGTGTGAAAACTTTGCCTTAGGATATTTTGCATGAAGAGTTTAATTCACTTTAAAAGCACTTGTCTGATATTCGTTATCCGGAAGAAATCCACGAGATAATGTGTAGGAAATTACGACAATGAAGATACGTTGCTAGAGACAGGAAGAAACCTGTATTTATCCAGCTAACCATCAAAGAAGATGATGTATCACAGTGAATTAACAAAAGACTAAGAGCTGCCACCAGCACCATTTATCCAACGGCTATTTACCTTCCTGTTCATAGCACGAGTCACGGTTTTAATTCATGGGTGTTTTGTCTATAAGCACTTTGTCGAAACCTTTCAAGTCTTCTTAGAAACTTCTGATAAATAACTAGTTTCCTTTTGCATCAGTTATAGTGATTGCTCCCCTAAATTTCACTAATTGTGGTCATTTAAACTGTGATCTTCATGCACAAATGCAGTCGAAAAGAAAAATTATGGATGAAAGCTTTCACTGGGTATTTCCGCGAATAGTGTAATCAACTGTATGATAAATATTCCATAACACTTTCGAAACAGCCAAAGTTAACATGTGCTGTAATTACGGAATTCCTGTAGGCGTTTAATACACAATCAACTACCTTGGAAAATTCAAGACGTAATCGACTGCCTATTTTCTTCCTGTACAAGTAGTTAGAGAAAAGCTCATCAAATTTGATTTTGCAGTAATTTATATCGTCATCCAAAGAGAAGTATAGAAACAAAATGCCCATTCCTTATACAGCAAAGTTCGTTAGTCTGCCTTCAACGAAATTAAACAGAGGAACATATTCCTCGAAGTACTGCTTCATTAGTATGGAAACGCCCGGATACTCACATTTTGAAAACTTGCAGCTGGTAAAATATTTTGTTATAAAAACTTCCTATCGCCTACTTTTCTTTCCTCATCTCTAAAATCACAAGATATTTCAGTAATAGAAGACGAGATCAAAGAACTCAGTGAAATCAGTTTTGAAAATGCATGTAAGATGTTTTTTCTTATAAGGTCATTAATATTTCCTATAGTCAACCTTTTCCAGTGCATTTAATTGGTGTCTCGTTATTAGTTTGTTTATTAGATCTATCACGCAGTGAAACAGTATTATTTCACTGTGTGATACATCCAATAAACAAACTAATATGGAATTACTTTCTACCACAGTGCCCAAGTTTTACACGTGTATTAAATTTGTGTCTATTTCATACCAGCCATTTCTCACATAGACCATTCACTCACGTTATCTCACCAGTCATGCAGAAAGTATCAGTGACTATGAAATGTGATTGCATAATGAAATATTATTAGTTTGAAATAAAATTGAATTGTTCGAGATCACAATCGTAGAAAAATATCAAGTTGCAAAACAAATAATTTCAGATACAGAATAATTCATGGGATATATCGGTGTTGGAAGGGAGCGTAGATTTACAGCATTATTAGGCGAATAAAACACGTCACATAGCATGGTGTGAAATTTAATGATATTGAATCTTTAGATTGCAAAGGAAAACGTGATCTAGAATGACAAGTGGCACAAAGGAAACTTTATCAAATATAGTTCATAGTGAGAATAGTAAGTGTAACAATCAACGTAATAAATAAGTGAAGGGTGTACAAATTGAATGAACAAAATGCAAGAGTCTGTTAGCTGAATCGCCTGTTTTGATTTTCTCTATGTCCCAATGGAGATATTCCATGAGTACTTAGTGTAACATTAACTTTCCGGTTTATGAATTTATTTTGAAACATTGAGTGTGTTGTCAAATAAAGTCGAACATTTAAGAGGAATTTAGCAGTAGGTGAACAAAATTTCATTTGAATAAAGTCACATATGATATTAATGTGCGCATCGTAAATTTCGTTATTACTAGGAACCTTTCGGGCAAACGTTCGACACAGATTAAGCCAATAAAGGACGACAATGGAAAGTCAATCACCAAAGAGGTGGAACAGAGAAAGCACTGGGTTGAACACTTCAAAAGACTTCTAAATCGTCCGCCACCTACAACACGTCCAGCAATACCAACAACGGAAGCAGAACTACCAGTGAACACTGACCCCCCGACGAAATCAGAAGTCCTGAATGCAATCAAGATGCTTAAAGCTGGGAAAACACCGGGACCAGATGGAATCCCAGCAGAGGCTTTGAAAATAGACCCAGAGACAACAGCGGACTTGATGACACCACTACTGGAGAAGGTGTGGAAAGAGGGCAAAGTACCCGAGGATTGGAAGAACAGTTACTTATTCAAACTTCCAAAGAAAGGAGACTTAAGTCAATGTAAAAACTGGCGTGGAATTATGCTTCTGTCCATTCCAAGCAAGATACTAAGTCGCATCATCCTGGAGAGAATCAAACAAGCCCTAGATGAAAAACTTCGTCCGGAACAGGCTGGATTCAGGAGAAACAAATCATGTATTGATCAAATCGCCACTCTACGGATCATCATTGAACAAAGCTTGGAATGGCAGTCACCTCTCTATCTCAACTTCATCGACTTTGAAAAGGCCTTCGACAGCGTCGATCGAGAGGTCATTTGGAAACTACTTCGCTACTACGGGGTCCCATCGACAATTATACACCTCATCCAACAGTTATACGACAATGCTGCATGCCAAGTAATCCACAACGGGAAACTTACGGAAGCCTTCGAAGTGAGGACGGGAGTGAGGCAAGGCTGTCTACTATCACCAATGATCTTCCTGATTGCAATTGATTGGATAATGCGACAGACAACGGCAACCAACGAGGGAACAGGCATAAAATGGACTGACACAAAAGACTTGGAGGATCTGGATTTCGCCGATGATATATGTCTGATTTCCCATAAACTGGAAGATATGCAAGTGAAAAGTAACAAGTTGGCAGAAGAAGCATCAAAGATAGGACTTCACGTGAACATAGATAAAACAGAGATAATGAAGATTCCTAGCCAACATCAACAACACCAACAGACCACAATAAGCATAAATGGGAAGAACCTGAAAGAAACAACCTCCTTCACCTACCTGGGAAGCATCGTCTCAACTACAGGCGGAACTGACGAGGACATCAAAGCCAGAATCGGAAAAGCAAGACAAGCTTTCATTACTCTCAAATCTGTGTGGAGGTCAACAGCAATCAGCATCAAAAATAAGATCCGGATTTTCAACTCCAATGTGAAGTCAGTGCTACTATACGGATCAGAGACTTGGCGAGTCATAAAGAGCATCTCAAACAAACTTCAAACCTTCATTAACAACTGTCTCCGCTCAATACTCAAGATCAGATGGCCAGAAAAGATCAGCAACAGGGATCTCTGGGAGCGAACCAATCAGGAACCGATTGTGAAACAAATAGGCAGAAAGAAATGGAGATGGATTGGCCATACGCTGAGGAAACCATCAAGTGACATCACTAGACAAGCCCTCGAGTGGAACCCGAAAGGGAGGCGGCGAGTTGGTCGTCCAAGGGTGACTTGGAGGAGGTCATGCGAGGAGGAGATGAAAGCATGTGGACAGACCTGGAGCAGGTTGAAAAAGTTGTCAGAAAACCGAAGTCAATGGAGGTGCGCAGCTGAAGCCCTATGTTCCTCTAGGAACTAAAGGATACAATAATATAATAATAATAATCTTAAACTATGTTTGTCTGATTGTAGTATCTGGGAAAAGAAGCTCTAAAATCGCCAAGAAAGCCGGAGAGAAGTGGAGGCACCAAAAGGGTACATGATATTAATCTGTGTATATATTTAGTACATTGTGACAACGATGTTTACCGCATAGTTAGTAGAAAGCCATAGGCGATGAAATATCAAGTCAGGGTAACATTTCAACATCATCAAGAGTGTTTACAAATCAGATCCGCATTCGTTAAACATTGAATCACATACACGTTTATTCAGTGCTGAAATCCACTCTTCATATCTGTCAGTCTTCTTCTCCAAAACATGAAACATGAATGCATAGTTGAATCGAAATGCAAAACCACTTATTCATAGTATATTCGAATAATTCGTATGCGTGTGACATTCTCTCAATACTGTCATTGTTTTCAGGAAGTGATAGGGTCAGTGGAATAGTATTTTCGAATTCTTTTCAGTCAACCAGCTACTTGATCACGATCTAAATCAAATTGTTGTACAAATTCAAAATAACTGCGTCACCGTAAAGACATAAATAAGCAACCACTTGTTCCGATTTCAAAATCAGTCGGAATTATGCTTATCAACTTACTAGACTGCATATAAATACACATTATTATGTAACCCTCATCATTTGCTTCTTTCAGAAAAAATAAACAAGCAGCTGGCTAGTCGAAACAAGACACTTGACAACTGTAGGTTTTCAATGATATTGAAAGTTATACGAATCTGTTGTAGACGTCGTTTGTAAATCTAAATATTTCACATCGCATCACAATGCAGCTGTCTATCGAGGTATGTATTTTTCGGGTATTTACATTTCACGGTGTGACGTTGGTGAACGTGGTAAAATGTTATATCCGTGTTTTCGATAAGCTGACACAAAGGCAAACGCTATTTGTATGCATTCGAATTGGAAATTTGAACGCTACTTCAGTTACAGATGTACGAATGGACAGGTGGAAATACTTCTGAATCAACAGTCACTACAAAGAAGGAGATGGCTTGACTCCCATGAATGTCACTGATTATCGAAATAGGAATGTGCGTTTGTCAACACGTCTTTCAACTGATGATCCTTCTAGTGAATTTCGGCCTATGATAGCTAACACAACGAGCAAGTGCTGTTCACGGAATGACGACAGTACTTAATATAATTTCTCTTTTTCTTATTAGTAGTATCTCGTGTCTACGGAACTCGCAGTTTTCAGTCAACTTTCATCAGAAAACATTTTATTCAGTGTTTGATTTACTCAGATTTATTTGTTTGTGATGAAACTGTGTATTTTGTAACGAATATTTTAGATCTGCTGACGACAATCGAAGAGATAAAAAGACAACATGGTGAGTCACAAAATGCCATTGTGCTTTTCTTTGCCCTCAGTTATCTGTTTAATTTGACTGAGTTCTCTTTTTGAATTCTGTTTGACTAAATTCACATGTTGAAACTTTGTGAATGGGTATTTTCAGTGCACTCTGTTTAACTAACGCGATTTGGTTTGTGTTTCTCATTCATGCTTTCAGCGGGATTCTTCAAAGATTACAGTGATTTGGTTGCAAAGTTTCAAGACAAATTGAACAGAAATGAAAGTGAGAACTGTGTTGTTTCTTCCTTAATTGAATTTTATACAACCAATGAAATTCATAAAATCTGTTGTTTTTCACGTAATCAAATTTTCACATTTATAACACGGTTAACATACGGTAGAGTTCAACAAGTGACTGACACGCATACAATATGGTTCTCACCGTGTTATATCGTCTATTAAAATATCGATACTGTCACACAAATCATCAATGTACTGATAGGCGTGTTACCATTGTACGGAAGTAACTAATACATGAGTACCTGCAAAGACAACCGCCCTGTGTAGAATTTCATAAAACATTTGAAGGTCAACACAGAGAAAAATAGAACTGTTCGGACATCAAAATTTAATGTCTGATGTATAAAATGTGAGAAGACATCACAGACTGATGAGACGCACAGATTGTGAATGACGCATCATCTACAACATGAATTCACATGCTCCATATCATTCTACATGAATACAGTTTACGTATTATAAAATTCTCGAAATCGGATATCACAGAAATAGTCTCAATGAAATTCTCATTCGAATCTATAGGAAAACGTGTGCTTCCAAAGTACCAGAAGTGTGACAAACATCTCCCTATTAAGAAGAATAAAGGTAATTGAATTTCAATAATTATGTACAGCTTAGACACTCTTACAGTACATCATCTCACATTTATACGCCTTTTGGATGTATCACAGAGTGAAATAGTTTCATTCACTACTTGGTGTTTCGTAAACAATTATTTGTTCATAATGATGTCGACTGTGTTTGAAACGTGACATGTCGAATTGACAAATTAATATGGAGTTCAATTTTAATGCTGATTTGACTAGCTGATTAACAAAAATTCCTGACGTCATGTTTGAAATGCTGATGGATCATTGATGTGTGATTGTACAGTTATCAGAAGAAAAGCAGAAGTATAAGTTGAGGAGAAAACCATGAATTAGATTATCAAAAATATTCCCCGCTATTAGAATCATTTGTAAACATTTATCAGGTTATTCCTGACTACCATACACATGGAATTCATAAGATGATATAGTTTGATTTCTTCCTGTCGATGTGAACATTTGCTGAAATGAAGTTGTGATAAGTTGATGGGGCAAAAGGATCAAAAATGATGAACCACACAATGACGACGAATAAATGTTACACAGTCAGCTACATCACTGCTGCTTTCATAGTGTTCACTCATGTTATCCATGAATTGATTTTGTGCTTAATTTATCACCAATATATTTTAGTCATCAAACGAATCAGCAAACTGATATCTAAAGAAACTTTCAGTAAATCTATGTCAGAGATGTATAATGGTAAGTTCATTAAGACGGAAGTTCCACATGTGTTCTTCACTAATCTCAGCAGACTGGAGTGTTCAAATCCTCTTATTAGGATTCTTTTGCCAAGCGTTTAATTCTCGTTAATTCAAATTAAACAGCAATGTATTCTTGTTTAACGAACAGATTTATTCGAATAATTGTTAGTCAACAACCACTTGCAATTGTTTGCAGATTTGACAATGATCGACACCTGTTGTGTGAGAGATGGTAATACTAACTGGCTGCACACACCTTGGTAGGATCGATACTGTGACTATGTGGTGGTTGGACAATAAACGTATACAAATTGAGATAATATCGAAGAGTTACGTTTGGGAAAACGTCTCTCCATTTATTACAGGAAAGCAATCAGAATTCAGGTTATGCTCTATAGGTCGTTGTGACCATTCTCAACGCTTTGTAAAGAGTATCACCGACCATTGAATTAAGTACTTTCAGATCTCCTGCAAGAGAAACTGGCTGGCCTGTTATTACTTTCTATTCACCATTAACGATCAGTAGTTTCCGTCGTATTTCATTGATTGTGTCAATGTCACAATTCATACTAACTATGAAACGCTAAATGTGGACTTAGACACTAGTTGTAGGAGAAATGTTGATTCACTTTTATTTATTAATTCTATTTGAGAAATGGTGATTTGAAGTGCAACACAGACTGACAAGAATATATGATAACCTTAGTTGATACCCTTCCACATGGCACTCTTCAATGTGAAATGCATCTCCTGTACATTTGAGTTACAGCTCTGGCTGACATATACCTCAGTATCGCTCAATTGATGCATGTAAGTCAAACTCATCCGTAAATTTGATCACCTGTTTTCTGGCATTAAAATATTAATCATGACATTATGTAATGTGATCTCTATGCCTGTTGTGAATTTTCACTGTAGATAATTAGTCTGAAATCAAATTCATGTGTCTCAACATATCAGTAATGAAACGAGATAACGACTGATTGTTATTCACTGAATTAATATTCTCAAAACATACGCCACAATATATCGGATGGTGTGAAATAGAAAGGCAAACAAACGCCTCCTTAGTTGAAAGAGTCGTTTGTATCTAGTCAGCATATGACTTTTGTCTTCTCACAATCTAGGAAAACGTAGGAAACAAAATTATCACTTATCATTAAAACTTCTCATTCTGTTGCGTTTCTCCAGTTATTTATAATTATTTTATTTTAGAAAATTCTAAAAGAATTCGATACATACCTTGAAAACGAATGAAGGAATATGGTCAACATAAGAGGTTGTTGGTGTTGTTGTTATATTATCCAACATCTCAACTCATACAGTAATTGAGTCAAATGTTTTTTAATTGTATGAAATCGCCCCTCAAAGGCTTTCTCAACACGCTGTTCATTTTTACTTAGAATTTCATGTAGACGTTTTTCTTTAAATATATATAGTCAACGTGCAGTTAATGTTTTATAAAAATGTCCTGAACAACTGTGAAAGCCACAACCAGTTTGCTATAATTTCGAAAACACATAGACAAGCATATTTACTACCCATGTGTAAAAACTGGTCTTTATTATATTCAACGTACAAGTTTCTTTGTTTGTGATAACAGCTGCTAATCAAAATAGCGTAATATGAATATCAAACTATTCGACATACACACTTTTCTCTAGCAGTTCCATCATCTAATACGAAACGAATTTTTCTGAGCTCGGTTACAGGGATTCTGTGTTACTAATATGTGTAGTTTATTTTGTGACAGATAGACAGATAGGTGGGTAGGTAGGCATATTCTACATTTGCATTCTGAAACTCAGAGCGAACCCACATAGGAAGCTTCAATGAAGTGAACTTCGCTGTGGTTAACTGTGATGAGCAAGGCTAGGGAACCTGTGAATGTCTGATATTTCAGACCTCATCTTCCATTACTTTCATCTGGCTCCAAGACCACCCAAAGGTCGTCTCTGTCTTTCTTCACGTTCCTATTCCACCCTCGGACATCCAACTTGTGGTTTCTGATTCGGATTCCACATGATAACGTGAACGAGATGGTCAGATTTCAAAAAGGTGTGAAATGAATCAAATAGTGTGTTCAATAATTTCCTCCACTATCGTTGGCCCTTAACACTTTAGATTTATTCCTGACACATTCTTTAGCTGCTAGTTCAGTTTATGCGCTGGACAGGAGGCTAGAGGTAGTGATCAGAAGCCCACAATATCACTGAACGTGAATTTCTAGAAAGAGGCTCCATTCTCTTAGAGAGGGGCTGTTAAGACCATTACTGCGCCAGACGATTGAATGTGTTGGACATGAATGTGATTACCATATCTATTAGTTCATGTCTATCGTAATCCTAGAAGCACAAACAATAATGCTTGGCAAATAGTGATATAAGTAGATTGCTTGGACTGAGGTAAGTTGCCTTAAGGTGCCCATATTACTAAACGGAGTAGGCCGAACGGACTTGCCTACCACGGGTCAACAACAATAGTGGGTTTCAACTTTGTTTCCTTCACAGTTGGTCACACACAGAATTCTTAGTGGGTTGACATAACCGTCTCTCTGTCAATCGAAAACTTCAGAAGAAGGCTGGAATACTATAAAAAGACATAGAGTCTACGCATATCTATAAGACAAGTGGTTCAGTTGAGAGGCACTGACTTATGGGATGAGTATATGGCATGTCTATTATCTGAAGTAGAACCAAACTTATGCGGTGGGTATTAGAGCATTTCAATAAATACGCTAAAATATGCCAGCATGAAAATCTGAAACCATTCGCCTAACGTTTGAGCGTAATGCCTTCTTTGATCCATTACATCGATCACATATCAGCATGAAGGAACATTTTCTGATAAAAAAGAAACAAATGTGAGTCAGTTAAAGAATTCAATGTCACCGGCAATGTGTGCACCATATAAAGACTTTCTAATGCGAAATTTCACTTAAAAAGCATATAAACATACAACAAATCACTAAATCACATTGTCAACGAACTTCGACGGTAAAACTGGTTGGGATATGCAGTATTTTCTTTCGAATCTCGTCTTCTCATATGTTCTCCATATTTCTTCTCCTCTTGTCCTGCTCATCTCATGCACAATTCTTCCCATTATCCACTCTGTTGCACACAAAACTTCCCAACATTAATCTCTACTTCGAATTTCATTGAGTGACTCCTACTTGTATGAGAGACTGTTTGAAGAAATGAAAATTGTAGGTTCTCGCATAAACCCGACGCCTAAACAACGCATACATTAGCCTCAAAATAAATTGACACCATTCTTCCGACTGTATTCATTGAAGCTATGCCAGTGATGACAACAGGTATGCACTGAAATCTGCCACACAGTTACAGAAATCCTTCAGCACAAACGAGGGAATGCCAGGATACCACTATTTATTTTGTTGCAAGCTAGTTACGGAGATATTGCATATCGAGTATTGAAACTCTGGTGGAAGCCTCTTTTGTGACATTATTCTTTGTCGTGGCCACAACCGCAATCAGGAGATGCAGAGTATTTAGAGGAGTGAACACTACAGTCAGGCCATCGCACTTACCTGCTCTTCAGACCAAACGGATGACCCACGCTCCATTTGTGGTTTAGGGTCCTCACCACCAGGAGACGAGGATCCACTGACTGTCTCAGAAGTTTGAATCGTCATGTCATTCTCCACAAGTTTCGCGATTGATGTACCGTCCAAATGGTCAAGAGAAAGCAAACAAGACGTCATCAAAATAAAACCTTCAGTCTGTTGCTTATTAAAGGCTTTTAAAATCACATTTGTGGTTCCATAATCGATGAATGTGACTCCGCCTTCAGGTATAAATTTCGAAAGCGATAGGTTCGACAAATTGTACTTAAGGCGTAAGACGCCTTCATACGGAACTATCCGGATATTTGCCTCCCCCGTCACACAAACCTAGTTCGGCTCATTATTTCATCATAGAGTACTGAAAGCGATTCACGCAAGGCGGTTTTTCGAAAGAAATGGAGGAAAAACATTGTGGAGAAGTGTTGGAGCAGGCTTCGATTGGAACAATATTTCCTCAGATGATGTACCACCGATTATCATATTATCATATTGACGATGAGTAAATGCTTGGCAATGAAACTCCCCGAAATTAATTCATTGCATATGAACTCATTCTTCAGAATAAAGCCATTATTGGTCATTATCAATGGCTGCATCTTATGAAACCAGTCGGTATCCCTTTCTCGATCCTGTCTCCTCAGCCTACGTTAGGCCAACAACACTATGAGACTCTCTCACAAAGTTTCTTATTGATGGTCTGGCTAGATCAGGTTTTATACACACGTTGGACGAATATACCAGAGCCAATATTATAAGTGGCAAATCCGTTCACGCCTATTATTAGGCATTGAAACTGAAAACATTACGACATGAATGTCGTGGTGTTGGAAAGTGACTATTCCATGAATCTCCTGTTTGCGATTTCATTGCCATTGTTACTTTTCCCACTAGAGCATGAATACATGATATTTCATGTGTTGATCACCTCTGGTTTCTGTACTGGAATAGTGAGTGGTACATCTATATCGGACTTCGAATTTCAACTTTCTTCGGGACACCTAGTATTCAGATGACATTTTTAACCAAGGTATGGATAGTAGGAAACCTGTCGATAAACTGTCATTAGCGTACTACCTATCACTGTGATGATGAGGAAGCATTTTACCCGCGAATACGTATTTCCTCACCTGCT